GGCCGGCGGCACGCGCAGCGCAATTGTAAATTTAAGATATGTCATTTAAGGCACGTAGGCCGCCAAGCTGGCGCCTTCCGTCACCTCGTCGCTGCTGTGCAAGTTCGCACTCGTTTTGGGCGTGTTCTAGACGTTTCGTAGCCTGTTGAATAAAAGGTGGGTCACGTACGACCCCCGGCCAGTCTGGGCCGGCGCGCGACGGAGGCAGCTGGCAATACAACGGCAATGTGGACATAAGGAGTTTACTACAGAATGCATTAGGTAAATTTGATGATCAGCAAACGAATATGTAAATATAAATGGCGAAAGGAAAAAAGTTAAAGAACGTTGCATGGTTCTATGACTATTACATCAAATCAAATTGCATTCCTGGTTACGAACATTTTCACAAGCTTATTCATATCACGTTGGGACCGGTAACAAAATGATTACTGCTTCCTACATGTTTTCAGAAGAAAAACACGGCCGAGTTTAATCAAACTACGCCACGCGCGTTTAAACAAACACGCATACTAATCGCAGCAAGGTAGCGTATCTGCAAATAAAAACGGAAAGATTCGCGCAATACGAACACACCGCAAAACAGAATAGCGATGTTGTTTAGCTGTAAGCACCAGGCAACAAGTTCGGTTCGAAAACAATCCACGACCGATTCGTAAGCACGTACTTGTGGCTCGCCTCGTTAACTGCATGGCGTGGCCACTTTCTGAACCTCTTTACGACAGCCATCCAATAGGACTTTACGACTGGAGCGTGCCGCAATGGACAGCGCCTGCTCCTAAACACAGGAAAATGCACCGACAACTTAATACCTCAGCACGTCCTGGTATAGGGATTGTCCCCATTTCCAAGTGCAGGATCCGAATGGTAAAGCGGTAAGAAGATAAACACTGTGAATTCCATATTATGAACAGCTGCAACAGCACGAACATTCTGTGCTGCACACTTATTGTCAGCAAGAAGCACGCAAAGAGTACCCTGCAGTCAAACAGGTAATACGGCTGCACCCAAACAGGCGGACGTAAATATGACAAACGAGTCCGGCCTTCCTTTCCAAACAGACGACAGTGCAGTGGTCGGCCGGCGCGGTCGTTACAGACGCCCAGTCGAGCTGCCGGCTTTGTTACCGCCGCCGCCGGCCGGAGCCATGTTGTAGCGCAGCTCCAAGGAGTCGGTACCGATCGATGCTATAGAAATGACAGTGCGCTTACAATACGCGTCCTCTGCACACATCCCTAATCTAACGAGCAACATGGCTGCGAGTTGATTATGTGTGAATAGGTGAATGCCTTCTAAGCGATGGAAAATGATTCAACAAAAGTCTGCGTGTTTTGGAAGCATGACAAGGAAATCGTGGGAAAATTCTGAACACACAGTCTTTCAGTATTCATGTTGTAAACGACTTCGTTTAATCATCATCAACACTCAAATTAATTGCAATTTGCTTACCTAGCTACAGCACAGCCCGCTCCACAAAAAGCAAGCAGCTGTAGAGGCATCGTAATATTCGCGTATTTTCCACCATTCTCACCACGAGACCCGCGCGGTATTGGAGCAAAGAGATTCGCAAAATGAGTGCAGAGTTCGAGCCACTCCCAAGCCCCAAACTGAGTGAGTGCGGAGGGTGCCGCAGTCCGATCTAGCTGGGCGGCTCTCCAGTGTAGATAGAGGGTGCCGCAGTCCATGTCATGTCGGCCGACCGCCATCGATTGCGGCGGCCCATTGGCGGCCGTCTCGGAGATAAGGCCCGTTCACTGTGTGACGCCCATTGTGGGCCGTGGGATAAGGACCGCCGCTGTCAGCCGGCCGCCGCCGCCGCTGACGACACCGCATTGTTTCTGCAGCGGCGACACTAACCAGGGACTCGCGGGGACCGACACAGCGCGGTGGGCGGAAAACCCATCGCACCGGCCGGCCAACCTGCTACACGGACCGGCCGACCCATGCACGGACCGGCCGGCCCACTCACTGCACGGACCGGCCGAAACACACACAGGCGCGGCGGCGCCGACTGGCCGCCTGAAACGTAGGCTGTCCCGCAGCGCTCTGCCGCCTGGCCGCATACTGTGCCGCAGCGCTCCGCTCGGACCCGCAGCCGCCCGTGGAGAGACGGCTGTGCCGCCACTCCCCTGGAGCCTGCGCGGTCCACAACGGCCCCACTAGATAATTCCAACACACCGGCGTAAAACCGTTCCGGTGCTCTGGCCCCTTCAATTCCAGCCGCAGACCAGCGTAACCCTGCGCCGGTGCAGCGTGCGGGTTTGTAAACAGGACTTTACTGCCTCCGCTATCGGCGGCCAAACCGAGACGCCGGCCGGCGCGCTAGTATGCAATACGATCGTGTTTGGATGGCGGTCAGCAGTCGGAAACGCCCGTCCTCGATACACAGCCGACGCCTTTCCACGACACAACGGCGCAGAAGGAGGACGCCGATAGTCGAATCGAACCCCACAGTCACACTGCACTGAATGACCACCAAACGAAAACAGACCGACCAGCGGAGGAGTGGATCTGCCGCATGATGACCCAGCACCAGGGCGGACGGGGTGCCGTTTGGCACAGCCCTCCCCGCCCCGTCCCCGCCCGGCCACGCTGCCGGCTCGGCGGCGGCAGGCGGATTTGGGCCGGCCGCCGCACGGAGACGGATGGCCCGGCCCTGATCCCTTTCAGCCGGCCCTCTGCCAGCGCAGGCATCCAGAGCCGCGCTTTGGCAGCTGCGGCCCGCACGGCCCGAATATAATGAGACGCACAGCCAGTCTGACGAGCGCGAAAAAGACCGCCAGCCCTACGAATTTATTGGTGGGAGCTAGCGCTAGCTTTGCAAAAAAAAAAAAACATATGCAATCTTTCTTGCAGCGCTGAATGAGTAGCACTTGGTTAATAAATACAAACTGAACCATTCACGCAAAATAATGTTGCGAGTAGCCTTATCAAAGCAGCATATATTTAAAAGTAAATATTTTTGAAACAGTAGGGGCGATACCTATATCCTACGCTATCACTTTTTGAAAAGCGAAGGGAGCTCTGCGAACAAATGTCCCATAAAATAAACGCGTCGAAAAACGAAAAAGCAAATGCGACCAATTGGCGGCAGTTTTTGCAGTAGCTAAGAACGGATGTCAACTATTTAGCTGCAATTTAGCACCTCACCCTGATCAGCCAGAGACGCTGACTCTGGAGAAGCTCCGTCAGCAGATATTAGAGCAGAGCGCAGCGAGCAGCGAATTAGGGCCCGCCGGTCGGTAACCAATAAACCCCACCCCCAGGATCCATTTGGAGGGCTATGTTTTCCAAACCATTGGCTGGGCTGTTCAGGGCCATCTCGAGTGAATTCATGAAGCCGGCACCGGTGGGTTTCCGGACTGAATGGGGCGTGGCGTCGGATTTATACATGTGCCTTTGGCGCCACCACGGTTCGAACGCGCTCATTTCGTTCATTCCGTTTCCACATTCCGTTTCCACAGTAGCGCAAAAGCCTGTTGTGGGGCGTGGTAATTGTGCACCGGCGAGGAACTGCCAAGCTCATGTTACAGAGAGTCTGCGGGTCTTTGTTACTATTATGCCATCATCTTAAAATTCGAACTCCTTTCCGTTTGATTTTCATTTCATACGCAAAAACGCCAACATATCAGATAGGCGCGGGACAAGAAAATGAGAGAATCCAATCTCCAATAGTGAACCAGCGAGCACACACGCAGCGGGCCCCGTTAAAGTCACCGGATAGAATTCCGAGTATCGGTGCTGCCCAGTTATCGGCTGAAAGGCTGGCCCTTGAACCATTCCGAGCACGGGAAATGACCAATATCAGGTGAAGTAGTGAAAATCCGCCCGCACACGAGCCCTCCAATCCCCTCGGCGCCGGCTCGTAAACGGATGATGGATGGCCGGTTCGCGGTTCAGTTGATTTGGAGGATTGCGTTTATGAAGAACGAGTGGCCATTTCCATCAGTCGGCAGATACCCTGGCCGAGAGAGTGGCCGTTATTTGCAGCCGCTCCGCCGCGCCGGTCCCTCCCCCACCGCGCGCTACCGCTGCCGCCACCCCATCGCCCGTTCCCAGTATCGCCCTCTCCAAAAGTTATCTACTCTTCATCGCGAGATCACCGATGGCATCACCGATAAGAACAGGGTGATTTGAGCACCAGTTCAGGACACTGAAGGAGCACTCCACCTGCTCTGTGACTGCGTTTGTAGGATGGCAATATCAGACAGCGGTGATGACCGTCTGTGTGGAGTCCTGTGCTCCATTCTGCCCCAGACTTCCCCCGCTCAGACAGTTTATTACAGCCGCGTAACGTGCTGAGACTTGGGCCCGTCTGAATGGAGCCCTGATTACATATTCACGGCGGCTTTTCCACATCGTCAGGGGCCGCGGCCGTTCCCAGCACCGGATACAGCTGCGCCCCAGCGAGGCTCGGCTGAAAATAAAGTCCGACCACTGCAGCAATTACTGCTGGCCCAACTCAATCAATTGGTAGGCGGCAGCAGCTGGCCACCAAAATATCTCGGTATTTTTGTGCTGAAATTTCGTTCACCCACGAGCAGGTGCGATACGCTCATTGAATAAGAGCAGCATAACCTCATTACGTCCGTCCATGGCGGTGGTCAGAGCAAAACACCTGTACCAGTAGCGCGTGGAGGCGTTTTTGCGTATCCTCCCTTCATAGCAAAAATGGACAAGTGGCTTTCGATGGCTCGCGTAAAACAGATCACTAAGGTGATTTATTGGCGAGGTCAGGCCAACAAAAGATCATATCAAGTCACAATGCCCCATTTGGACGTTTCGATGAATGGCCTTGCATCGTAAAAACGTCAGCTTTGATAAAGGTAAATAAGATTCAAAGAGGTTATACAGTTCGAGCCTTTAGAGGACATCACTCTTACCAATCGCTTTAAGTTCAATGTATCATTTTGAAAATGTAGCTAAGGTAAACCTGTAGGTTAAACCTCTGTTCCCGATACTGCGAGTAGCGACTAGTGGTGGATGACGTCTCTACTCACAGTTCGATGGCCTTGTTCCAGTTGATAATGTAGCCGGAGACGACGAACGACTCGATGTTGACGATGTGCACGTTTCCCTTCTCGGTGCCCACGTACAGCCACTTGCTCTGCAGCGGCAGACTGATGCACGTCGTCCTGCGCACAGGGCGGGCAGACGTCACTACAGATCCAGCGGCACCGCGCCGAGCTCGTCAGGGCAACCCGAACGGCACCGCGCCGAACACAGCGGGCAGGTCGGACGGCAGCGTGCACTGTGTCAGCGCTCTCCGTCCCTCCCGACCTCAGTATTACCCTAACACCTGAATTGTATCCTCGTTCCTATACCCCTTATACATCCCACCTATTCCCTATATAACCTGCCTTCCCACGTTCGTTTTACTTCTAGCGCCGTCTTTTTGTGCCGTTTTCTCGCACGTTGTGTGTCCCAAACTGGCCCAATTTGTTGGCGGCGGCGCGGACCGGCTCTGGGCGGCCGTCGGGCTCCGATCGGCGCTCGGTGTGCCGCGAGTTACAGGGCGGGGCGGCGCTCGGAGTGCCGAGTTACAGGGCGGCGCAGCTGTTTGTTCCGCCGTCCGATACCGGCGCGGCTCCGGCCGGCCGCTCGGTGCCCCGTTTTTCACAGGCCGCCGGCGCCGATAAACAGCGGCGCAGAGCGGCGGCGACACGTCGGACCGGCGCGCCGTCCCAATGCAGATTGGGCCGCCGAGCTGCTCCCGAACGTCCCGGCACAGAGCTGGGCAGGCCCGCGGCAAAAGGGTGCAAACGAGTCGACCAGACCGGGGTTTGGGAAAATGGAGTTGACAGAGAGGGGAAGCGAAGAGAAACGCGGTGAGAAGAAGAGGAAGAAAATCCAAGGGAAGATAAAGAGCAAAAAAGGATATTAGAAGAGGAAGAGAGAAAACGAAAGAGAGGGAGAGGTAAATTAATCTTCATAGGCGATCTGAAGTTTCGGTCAGTCAGTGGGACTGGAAGCAGCACCAAGGGAAACATTTGAAAAAGAAGCAGTGAACGGTGAGCACGCAAGGATTATTACCAAAGCTTCCTTACCCTCCAAGACAAAAAAGTCACATTTTAATCATAGTCACTGCGCAATTACCCTAACAATCTGACGTTTGCACCAGCCCGCCCAAAACCATCAGTCCGTTCGTAACACATGTTGGCCACCTACCGCTCGCGCTGAAACTTGAGCGTGTGCACCACCTCGGGAATCTTCTGGCGGATGTTCCACATGTTGAGCGTGTCGTCGGTGCAGGCCGTCACCAGCGCGCCCTCGTTCACCAGGAACGCGATCTGCCCGAGAGGAGGAGCACCACCGGTCACCATTCACCGGTCACCAGTCACCAGTCCGGCCCGCGGTTGGTGCGGGCGGAGGGGTAAATCGATGGATGTTTAAATGAGCATACGTTGTTAAGGAATATGTGACAACACAACAACGGTTATATAATTCCGTGTATCAAATGAGCTAGCAAGGGAAATAATGCAAGCTAAAACTCATAATGCAATCAAATATAAAAATGCCCTGACACTATTGTCGGCGAGATTAGAACCGTAGAAAATGTTTCATAAGCAAAGACAATAAACAAATGCAATATGTACGAGTGGCCGACGGAAGCATTTACGTAACCAAATCGGATTGGATCCGGCGCAGAAAAGTGAGCCAATTAGCGAGCGTTATCGGATAAGTGGACGGAGGCGGCAGGCCGGCCGGCGCAGAGATCATAGAGAGCGTGTTTAGCTTATATAAGATTTCCATGGCAGTGATGTGAGCGCCGAACAGCCCTGAGGGCCCACCAGCGCCGCGGGAGGAAACAAAACGACACCGGGACCGTACATAAACCACAGCGGTGAACCGGCGTCTCCTACATGAGCAGACGGATAGGCATGAAAAGAGGCATTCAGCAATTGCATTAGTACAATGGCACGATATATGTGCAGCGCTTGAATGGCCTCCGGTTGACAAATGACAGGTTACGGTGCGCCCGCGCCTTCCCCGAACCATTCACCAAATCATGGCCGGCCTGAATGGCACAATATGCATTCAGTCGAGCGGCCGCGGTCGTGCCGCGCGGCAATCGTTCATAACAACGTCATCGCCTCATCGGCACACGCCGGGTGTCTTTGTGGCCCCGTCCGCGGCGCGGCGCCCCGTCCAGCGACCCGGCGGCACGCCGTATTGTGCGTCTGTACTGACCGAGCGGGTCGCGCGCGACGCCTATTTGTCACGGGTTGCGCACCGCCTCTCTGCGGCTGTGTGGGTACAGAGACGGACCGGCGCGGCGCGCTCCGCACGGCGCCGGTCCCGGCGGGCCCATACGGCCGTCCGGGCCCCCCTGGCCCATACGGCCGTCCGGGCCCGGCCGGTCCCCCGGGCCCATACGGCCGTCCGGGCCCAGCCATCCATCAGAGCAGCGCGGCGCCCACCAGCCAGCGGCCCTGACCGAGTGTCAATGGATGGGATACGCTCCGGTTGTCAGATTATATGCTGATGACAGCTGACTGAGCAGCGAGGTCACTATGACGGAGAAAGATCGCTGGGATTTGTTACGATAAATCTGACAGAATCCACAAGAGGATACGGTAGTGAAATACCGATGAAAAACAGCATCTCATTTCAAACCCGAGCACATAAGCATGAATTACCACTACAATGGCAATGACATTTTCTCCAATAGATGATGATTGAATTAATCTTCTTACAAAACATCTAGAGGCTCGGGATAACTCAGAAGCTCCCTGATTGATGCCCAATGACGCCCGCCTGCGCCAATCAGCTGCAGCCAGTGGGATCAGAGGGCTGCGCCACGGCGATGACATTTATCCCACGTCGTCCGAGCGTCAATTATTCACTCTACACACTACTCAACCAGAGAGCGTGGTCCTCGATCATTGCCCATGGGAGTTGCAGATAATCAAATCCAATTCATTGGTGCTGATGAGGAAATATACACGATAACTGTAACAATCTTCATAGTGGCAAGATTATAAATTTACTTTTCACTGGTACAATATCTAAATTCAGGAGTAAGAAAAAAGTTACGGTCGCCGGAACGGTAGCGTAGTTATAGAAATATGGGCCATTTCGGCGGCATAATATTCCGTTTCAAATTACTGCCACCGTCTGACCTATGGGCCATACAGAAACCCTATGAGCACTGGGCTCCACACGATGGGATGGTTAAATTTAGAGCATAATAAACCGACGGATCATCACACTTCTCAATCCATTCCGCGACCACTTGGCCGATCGTATATCGACGGGAATTAATGGCGATGTGAGCGGCTGAACTGCAGTTCTGGGCTCACCGGAAACGCATTAACACCTATCACTTCAGCGAACGACGAGAAATGCTGGAGCGTCCGGCGTCTCTGGACTCCGCCTGGACCTTCGGAGAGAGAAGAAACTGTGTGCATTGTCCACGTCCAACATGCCCGCGTCCCATTGTCTTGTGGGTGTGGCTCTGTGTTGTGTTTGAACTGCCTGTCGGCTTACCCTTCCCACGCAGCTTGGGCAGGGGTCTCTGTGCCGGCGGTGTTTTGGTTTGGGGGCCGCCCGGACGGCCGGGCGGCCGGGCCCTTGGTAGTCGGCGCCCATGGCACGTGTTAGGAGATGATATCTAACGTAGGTGTGACAGCCCCCGAGAAAAATGAGAACTAGAGTGCAAGCCTGGTCCACTAGCTAGTTATGTGGTCATCGTCATATGCGGTAAGCATGGTAGATGCAACAAAAGCTGATACGCTTTACAGCCCCCAGCACATTCCACAGTGTTAAGTTCAACTACAGGGTGATTTTTTTTACTTGTTAAAAAGTAACGAGGTTTAACGGCGCTAAAATGCAAATATATATTGTAAAATTATATACCAGCATGACGAGCATTCCGGGACATTTTGATTTCATGCAGACACGATGTGAAGGAACGTCCATCGTGTATTTTACTTGTGCTTGAAGTTACCCCCTCTCTCACCAATACGAATCAGTCCGCCTGAGCACGTGTTGAACAGCACCATGGACTCCCATGCTCATTAGGCGGACTGAAAAGGCTCCTATCACCCATTTTCAGCTATGCCAGATATTTCCAATGTTTTCTTGTTATATCTGCCATACATGGGTCCAAAAACTAGAAGTCTAGAAAGGGCAGGTCGAGGATTTTGCTACTGGCGGCCCTGGTGGTGTCTGATTCGCTGTTTTTGTTTCTCCCTGAAGACTGATTCTTCAGAGGCTGCAGATACGCCAGATGGACCGTTTGAAGGTTATCCATGACTACAAGCTTGTTCGTGCATTATTTAACGTCTTTCTGAGGCATCTCCTTGATGATCGTATGCTTCGAACTGCCTCAATGCTTCAGAATCATCGTTTTGTGTCGTTCCTTACTGAACGGCGGTGGACCATGCGTGCCCGATTGGTGGGACATTTTCAGGCTCCATTGGGGCCGAGGCCCTCGGTCAAAAGGGACAAATGATGAAACCATACAAAATGTCCCAGATTTATCTATCACGTGCATTGCTTTTTTGCACAAGATTTTTCGATTTAGGGACCACCATTGACGTTTACTTTTTAACAGTTAAAAAAAATCACCCTGTAAGTAGTCTGCCGTCTGTGGTCCACCGTCTTCCGTCCCTATCAGCCCCGTATTCCCAGAGACCCGTGTCCCGTGTCTCCCACGCTCCCCCTGTCCCCGGTGTCCCGTACCCCAGTGTCCGTAACCCGGTGCTACGTGCTCCCGGGTCCCCTGTGTCCGTGTCCCGTGTGCCGCGCTCCCGTGTCCCCAGTGACCTGTCCCGTCCACGGGCACGCACCGGGCGGCCGCCAGAGCCGACAGCGCAATGCTTTTAGGCCGGCCGGGCTGGCGACCCGGATCGACTGCGGCCTGTCTTGTGGCCAGAGACCACACGGGTCCGACGCGGGTCGTCTCTTGTGTCAGTGTTGGTGTGTCAGTGTTCGTGAGTCAGTGTCAGTGTCAATGTGTCAGTGTCGGTGAGTCTATGTCGGTGTGTCTATGTCGGTGTGTCAGTGTCGGTGTGACAGCAACTGTGTGTCATAACTGTATGTCTGTGTCGTTGTGTCAGTGTCCGTGTGTCAGTAGCTGTGTGTCTATGTCGGTGTGTCAGTGTCTGTGTGTCCATGTCGGTCTGTCATTGTCGGTGCGTCGTTGTAGGGTTGCGCTGAGTATGCACTTGCAGAATGAACACACCTGCTTTTAACTCGGACTGCTAGCCTTTGTAGATTATTGCGGATGGTGCAAGTTGGATGGATGGATTAAAATTGTGCGTTTAAACTGGACTCCGCGGCATACTGCTGGTCACCAGCCAGTCAGGTTTGATTGTCTGCTGCTCACTACACTCGGGGTGCACGACCCCGATCAGACCCCGCCCGGCGCCAGCCCAGTGTTTGCTCTGCAGATAGCCGGTGACATGGAAGGATGGAGGCCAGCGTGTGATACCCAAATCCAGGCTTTGAAACGGCCACCGAATCCAAAGTTTACCAATTACGCGCCTCTCAGTGGGTGTAAACGGCATTACCGGTTAAACACTTGCACAAAAATAGCGAGGGCAGCATCACTACAGAAGTCACATTTAGCCCACGTAAGCACAGACAGAACAGGCGTACCGAATGTCCTTACGGAATAAAACCTAAGGGCGTAGCGTCAAAGGAGGCCATAAGCCAGGGATACTACCGATTTTACTACGCCGTTTGATCAATGTGCTGTGCTTTATTTCAAAGTTATTTCATTGTCATGAAGTTTATCGGCTATAAAAGTGTAACGGCAAGATCCCTGGGGATGACAGAATTAGATAAGCACTCCCTATCCCCATTCAGTTTGATCTATTCCGGAATGTTCCGTAAAATATGCAAAGGTAGCAAGGAAAGCACTTCCGTACCTACACCTTGATAGCTACCACCCCTACTATTCTAGGGAGGTGTCAGATATTTGACCAGAATCATTGCCTAACTTTACAACATTAATGCAGCTCGCGAGCCGTGTGGAAACACGTATGTGCGCCGCATTTCGGTCCCATCAAAATCCTTTCTAACTACGGCATATCATCGTCGCAGGGAAACACCGGCTCGCCTTTCTCGAATTAAGGATTGCCCCCAGCATATCGTCTAACCAGCCAAAGCTCACATGGTGAGATTCGAGCCGCAGCCGCCGCCAAGACCGGCCATGTGACGACGTTTGTAGCGACAAGTGCAGCGGACGTGGGACCGAGTGAGACAACCACGTACGGACTATCCGCTACAGGTACGAGGTGCTTACGTGTAACGCATCAAAACGTCACTATCCTGCAGTCTCCCGACGTCACCATAATCCATGGTACAGCGCATTGCCTGAGTAGTAGGGGCGAAACAGAACTGGATCTTTTCGTAAGCGTCTTTATCCTACCTAGGATCTTACAAAAAAAAAACTCAGCGCAATATGGAAGTCTGTATGCATGTGAAAGGTAAATTCTCCTCATACCGCCGCTGTACTTGGTCGCAGGCGTCACAATGCCGTGGGTAGGCTCGCAGGCAGGGTGTTAGCTAAATACGCCGGCCGATATTCCAGGAGCTGCTTACGTTCCAGCGGAGACGCGCCCGCAGAGGCTAACTACGAACTCTGTGATTGAGGACGCAATCTATTGAGTTAGCGGGATGCGCCGTCGATGGAAACGCAATTACCACGTCGGATAAACTCGGTAGCGTACGTGACATACCGTAAACCGGGGTGAGTTGATATGGATTTTGAGGTTTTTCTAGATTTCTTTAAAAACCACATTCATTTACGGAATTCTTTTTAAGCCAGTTTCATGGCACATGCCTTGGTGAGGCAATCAGCAAAAATGAATAAAAAATGTATAGATTAAGCCCATTTTTTAAAACGCCAAAGTTCATATCAACTCACCACCCCCCAGGGGGTGAGTTGATATGGTTTTGGATTTTTCAAAATTTCTCGGCTAAAGAAGCTCAGAGGTGAGTTGATAAAATGCCAGTGTTTAAAAAAAAAAGATGAGAGAACACATCCTGAAAGAAACGATCAGAAAAATGGTAGTAGTTTGGCAGCAGACCTCACATTCATGAAAACGCAATCATGTCCAACACAGCGCTATCAAAATAGCTTGATTTTAGCAGCATCATTTTTTCGCTTTATGATACTTAGTTTTACTTATAACATTCTGAACTTGGCTAGTCACGTGTCCTCAAGCCAACGGTATCAAAACTGGCAATATATTTTGGAATTACAAGTGTATTTTCTTGTAGTTAAAACACATTGTCAGTTGCGGGTCAAGGTTGATATGCCTCTGACAGAGATAATAGATTGAAATGAAAGAATGCATATACTCTGAGCTTTTGTTGACTGGTAGTCAACAAAATATTAATGAATAAAAGGGAAGCGAATCTAATTCGGACTGTATTCTATGAGGTGAAATAACCGACATAAAACAGAATTCGGCATCAAAAGCCAAAATTAACCCTCGCACTTATAGGCGGGCGAACGGACCACCTCGGCTTTTCGCACATAACTCGCGCAAAAAGCGGCCGATCGCGACGAAACTTTCAGTACCTCTCGAATTTATCAATTTTACACATGTTCTAAAGAATTCATGACCCTGACTCAAATGGTTTTTGACTTGTGACCTGATCCTCGAGACCATGCTTGGCCGGAATCGCGATTTGGCGTAGTCGGCTCACATTATCCGCGCATTTCCAGTCTTTTTGTGATTGTAACGTCCAAACATGTAAATGATGTTGGTCCCACGCAGTATTGTGGGTGTCAACTGTCAAGGTCACCTGAAGGTCAGGTCAGGTCATTGACCTTTGGTGACCTCGGTTCACTTTTTGGAGCTTTACATGTTTCTAGGGTAGTTTTTCGGGCCGATTTCGAATTTAACATGAATTTGATCATTTACGAAGTAGTTTTAGTGCCTTCGTAACATGTTACGACACCGTCAGTGGTAGTTGACACTTGACACTCCCTACATGGATAGCCGGCAGGACACCTACTGGTTGACCTGACCTGACCTGGCCTAAATGTACGAAGACATCTGTGATCAAAACTAACATGACATTCGTGATCAGCAACAGCCAAAAGATAATAAACTCGCTTTACGAACTTCAAATAACCCTCTATTTTCCCGACTTCTGGGTAATTGACCTGGCCTGGAAGGTTAACCAATGACCTAGGACCTTAAAGTTGGTCATCATCGGCTTCCTCGCGTCTCGGGCAACACGCTCATTTTTTTCTGCGAAGCTCTAGCTCCACCAGGGGCCAAACGACGATGGGATTCCAACGGACCCCCCCCCCCCCCATACGTTAAATGCTGGCAAAACACGAATATGGGCGAGGGCTAAAACACCAGTCAATTTCTTTATATTGTTTGTTCCATTTCATTTTGTCACTCATTCTCGGTTGGCAACTGCCAAGCAGGGAAACTAATCAGTTTCACGAGATCAGAATTCCCGCGCTGTTAGCCATACAGAAACGACAGTTCTGTCATTTTCGAAACTACGAATAATTATAACAATTTTTTTAATCTGTATGTATATAGGTGTTCTATAGTGTTCCTTTGTAGCTTGTAGGGAGCCACCTTGAGACTTGACAGGGAGTTGTGCTGTGCCTTTTGCATGTTAGGTATGTCCACAGAAAAAAAAAACTTTGGGGTCACTGATGTTAGTTGTCGGACCTTCGTCCCCGTCTTGAGTTGAGATGTTAGTTTCACAACGTTTCGGCCAGTTACTCTCCGGCCGTCGTCACTCGTCAGGTGTTCTTTGACCCTCAGAAGGACCTGGATGTTGGTGGCGTTGCGCCGTACGCGTCAAACAGTTCGAAAGCTCCTGTAGTCAGCGGGAATCGAACTCGGGTTTCCCCGGCGGTGATAGTCCACGGTTCTAACCACTCCACTACCGAGGCAGATTAGACTGTGGCCGGAGAAGTTACTGGCTGAAACGTTGTGAAACTAACATCTCAACTCAAGGCGGGGACGAAAGTCCGACAACTAACATCAGTGATACTAACGGGCCTCGTCTTAAGCATTCAGAAAAAAAAAACTAAAGCTTTTGGGGGTTGATGAAATAATGTGGGGAAAGAAAAGGAGAAGAGTTGGTCTAATTGACTTTGTCTTACCTGCAGACCCATATTTCATGCTAATTTGCATGCATACCAGCCTGGTATCAGCTTTTATCATGCATATCAACTCACCACTTGATGGCATATCAACTCACCACCTGTCTCTTTTCTTAAAATTATAAAAAAGCGTTGTTATAGGTGAAACCCAAAACTACCTGGGATCAACAGTAAATTGATAGTAGTTTCTTTCCCAGTGCATGTTGTTCCATGAATATCCACCGTCTTTGCTGTAGGGTGGGGACTTTTCCTTATTTTCAAATTCAGAAGAAAAAAAGGACTTTGAAAAAAGTAATGTGCTAAGAAGGCACTGCACCACATGCATGCCTTTCTCAGCTATATGCATCACTTATTGGTTGCTTCACTTCACAGAAGAATAAAACTGAAAATTGGTTTACAAATGGATGAGCAGCACACATTTTAACATTTTTCGAGCAATTTATATCAACTCACCACCCCATATCAACTCACCCCGGTTTACGGTACTCTGAATAATACAGCGGTACTGCGAACAACACCGGGGAGGCAGTACACCACAGCTGACGGTGACTCTCCTGGCTGTGCAGGTCACAATCCGACGATGTGCTTGCTGTGACATTGTAGAGGCGAGAAAACAAGCACCTACAATTTCCATACCTCAAACGTAGGTAAAATTTTCAATAATTTCTGCATCTGTTTTCTCGCATGTGCTGATACCGTAAGCGGCGACTTCCCCGCATTCCCTCGTGGTGGCAGTTCTGAACGGCGCCTGCTCGGCAGCCGGGGCCCCGCGCCCCCCGCCGGCCCGCCCGGCAGCGCCCGTATGGCCGCGGCGGCCGGCCGTAAGTCGCCGGCAGCGCGCCCGGCCGGCCGCGGCGCTTTACGAGCTGTCGGCAGCCGGCGCCAGCGCGGACCGTCCTAAACAGCCGGCGCCGACAGCGCGGCCACCGCGCCGGATTTCTCCCGGAAGCCGCCGAGAGCAGGGCGGATAAAAAGCCGCGCCCAACGCCGGTTTACAGCGGCCCACCCGAGAATCTGCATTGCAAACAGCGTCCCAGAGGAAATGTGCGTGAGAGACTTCTTAATTTGCATTTCCAGACCTACATTATCTCAAATCTGTGGAAACGTCTCCTAAGAGCCCATTGGGAGTTGAGCTCCGCCCGTTCCTTGTCGCTCTGTGTTCCGTTGTACGCACCGGCCGCGCACATGACATGGGAGGTGCTGACACATGACCTCCCAAATGCCACCACTCGTCCCAGGTCACCACATATTCCCTGCCCACTCCAGAAACCGACAGCCCCGTAAATCTATTGAAGTCCTGCGGCAGCAGTCCATTTAGGTTACGTGAGGCTCTCGTACTCTAGGAGACTTCGGAGGGCGGCATTGGCATAATGTATCATCCATGTACCATTGTGCATTATATAACATGCCAACAGGCTCGCTCGGCGGCGACACGTCAGAGGTGGATATTTTCACCACTCCCTCACAAGACGCCATGTATCGGCGAGGGTCTGTAAATTGATCTCCCCGTCGCGGCGCGCCAGACTGATCAGGTATGCGGCACCGGTGCAGTGTCGATACGGCCGAATCGGCCGCATTCGGCATTCACAGCCGCGCCGGCCGAGCTCTGGCCAGAGTCCCCGGGGACTCTCCGCGCTGAACGAATCCCCGTGGACTCCCCAGAGTTATGGAGTCCGTCTGACGAAAAGACGGGTCTGTCGGCCGGTGGGCGGACGGACGGCCGGTAGACCGATATATCGTGGCAGTGAGGCCCTGCGCCGCCGCCGCCGGTCCGGCCGCGGAGGTTCGATCACGGGCCCCACACCGCCAGGGTCTCCCTCCGGAGGAAATCCACCCGGACCAAGGTCTCTGTGGCACTCCCCTGTAGGACAGTCCGGGTCCCCGTGGCCCTCCCCTGTAGGACAGCCGGATCACGGTAAGGTCGGGCTGCGACATTCCCCGGTACCCCCTCACCTGAATGACGGCCGGGTCTCCGTGACACTCCCCTGTAGGACACAGGACAGCCGGGAACTGTGACACTCACCTGTAGGACACAGGACAGCCGGGAACTGTGACACTCCCCTGTAGGACACAGGACAGCCGGGAACTGTGACACTCCCCTGTAGGACAGCCGGGCCCCTGTAACGTCCCTGCGACATTCCCCGGTACCCCCTCACCTGAAGGACGGCCGGGTCTCCGTCGTGACGCACGTGGATGTCCACTCCGGGCCGGCCCAGACTGAGCACTGCGTCAAGGAAATCCACACGGCAGCAGACGTAGACAACACATTTAGCGCACACTTTACATGGCAGTATGCGGCAGTATGTGCACCAAATAAAGCATAAAACAACACAACACAAAAACACAAGACAGAAACAGTATGCAGATTCCACTGTTGCTGAATGCTGATTTCACAAAGTTGGCTTTTATAGTAGTGGTAGCCAGGTAGGAGCTAGTAATGTCACAAATCACAATATATGTACCAGCCAGTTCTTGGCACGCTCAACGGGAAGTCCAGAAAAAAACTGCCCAAATATGACTTCCTGTTTTACCACGCGTCATCAAAATCCCGGCATAACTGTCAAAATAAAATAACGTGTAAACCGTATCCAGGCCAAAAGAAAACACATATTTTCATTCTAACATTCATTCCCTACAGCTGTAAGGGCAGATATTGCAAGCCACATCGATTTGTCTACCATCTGTATGGGCCCAGCACCGAACTGCGACCCGCTGTCGCCCATGGCCTCCCGGTGAAGGGCTGGAGACGGGCTGGAAACTCGCGGTGAAGGGGTAGAGACTCGCGGCCCGCTCGGCACCGCGCAGAAGCCCCGACCACCGCCTCCGGGCAGGAAACGGATAGTTAAACAGCGGTAACGAATTGCCCTGAAATAAGGCCAGACAGCCCGGTCCAAAGAATGGACGGACGGAGCCAATCACCGGGCTCCGCGCACCATCAATCTCTCGGCTCATCTGGCAGGGGCCATTTGAGGGCCGGCGGATCATCATTCCATCGGACGGTTCCACCCTTCCACTCCGTCCCACACACCGAGAGACGGACCATCACGTCAGCGGAGCGGCACATCACCTCGGGACCACCGTCACAGCGCGTCAGCTCTGCACCGACACCTCACATCACACCGACACCTTCTCCACGCCACACCGCGCGTTCCCAGCCGCCTCTCCACATCACCTCGGGACCGCCGTCACAGCGCGGTATTTCTGCACCGACACTCCACCAGTGACACACCCCACATCACCCTGACAATACTGCACATCATCCTCGCACTAACCACTTCACATCACCGTGACGCCCTCTCCACATCACACCGAACCCTGTCCACATCATCCAAACAACCTCTCTACATCACTCTCACACCAATCCCTTCATAGCACCCAGTTCCCTCTCCACAACACCGTGACACCCTCTCCACACCACACCGTCCCTAACCGCCGCTCCCCACCACCACTCGTTGAGCCCCTCCCTCCCCTCCACCGCCCGGTCAGCACATGTCAGTCGTCTGACCGTTGACGGGCCGTATTCGGTCAGTTACGACCACCTGGTCACTCGGGGGCCCTCCGAGCGGCGCCGGCCTTTGGAGGTGCTGCCAGCGCCGCCCACAGCCACCCTGACCGACGCCGGCGGCGGTGTATTTATCGTCCAACTTCGGCCGTCTCTCTTGCCCGGCGGCCGGGACTGACGTGGTCGGCGCACGGTATCAGCCGGCGCCGGCTGCAGGCCGGAGCGGAGGTCAGGTCAGGGCGAGCGGAGGTCAGGGCGGAGAGGGGCGAGCGGAGGTCAGGCCGGAGAGGGGCGAGCGGAGGTCAGGGTGGGGCGGGGCGAGCGGAGGTCAGGGCGGGGCGGGGCGGGGCGAGCGGAGGTCAGAGCGGGGCGAGCGGAGGTCAGGCTGCTGAGTGTCGCCAACAGGCATGTGGTATCCACAGTCAGCGACTTGGAGCCTTCGTGAACAAAATTTCAGCACCACTTTCTCATTTTTCTTGCCATGTAACCATACAGAACACTCTCATACCATTCAGCAGCACCGACCCTGTTCGGCAGGCGGCAGCTCGAGATGACCCGTCGTCCCAGAGCGCCCGGCACCAGCCAAGCGTGCAGTCCTCACCGCTAAGCGTGCATTTCGCCATTACACACGCGTGGCCGCCGCTGCCATTTATCGGAAGCGCGCTCCGGCGGCGGATTCAATTTCCTAACGATCGGCGGCGGCGCTCGACTGTGTCATGGCTCGCGAGCCTCCTTCATCGAGCGGCCATCGGCGGAGGCTATCAAATCGCCGCCGGCAGAGTGGTCCAGCTCGAATGGCGACGGAACTGCCGACAACGTTTAATACTGACGGCACGAACGGCAAACATTCGACCACTTTACGACGGTGAACACGTCTGAGCCGTGAGAAAATTGGCCGAGCGCCGGCGACTGCGGCACGTTGTCCCGCCCAACGCCGTTTATTAGTCTCGCCGTGCTTTTGTGAATTTCCTCACAAGAAAACATCGCGGCACGCCTAGATAAACAAATAACACCCAAAAGCCTGGCAGACAGATATGCATTGGCTGGGGCTGAATTGGCGGGTTCGGGCCGGGCCGGCGCGGCGGCCAGTGCTGATAGCAGCACACGACCAGCCGCCGCGCCGGCCGGCCGGACAGTGCCGTCGACATATTACCCGAGTTGGGCCATCTCCGGCCGGACCGGCCGCAGCTGACGGCGCCGCCCGGCCCGCGACGGTGAAACTTCGACCATGTCCGCAGCCCGTTCAAACAGCGCGTGTCCTAAATACGCAACGAAGCCCGAAATTGGACTGATTCCGCCTACCAATCAGCAGTACCAATAGCACCGGCGTAGAAGAAAGCAAATCAGCCGAAATGCGCGGCCGCCCTGTGATCTGAATACATGTAGCGCAGCGTTCACCGGCAGTAGCATCGCTATCGCAGGGAGTTCCAAAACCCGACCGCAGTAGCTGCTCACAAGTAAGGAAAGGCTCTCTTTTCTGCAGCACTTTGCCGGTCATTTTTCACAGCAAAGACAGGGCCGTCAGCGTGACCGCGGGATTCTCCCGATGTTGAGGACAGGACGATCAGTCTGGTTTGGGCTGGCGAGTTGCCAGTTGGGACGGGTGTGTTGATAGCTGCCGCGCCAGTCTCGCAAGTCCAAGCGGCTCCTCACAAGGCCCAGCTGTCCAGTGGGCCCGGCGCCTACTGACAGTTGTCTTGCAGGCCCTCCGAGTCCTGACGCAGTCCTCTGAAGTTTCTGTCAGCTGTCACCCGGGCCCCAATGGTCCTGTGGCTGTCCAAAGGGTCCTAATTGGTTGTACTTGCTGTCTGAAGGACCACAGTGGATTCTGCTATCTTTCAATGGGTGCCAGTGGGTGCTGCCAGCTGTATCCTGGGACCTTGAAGCCCTGACAGATGTCTCCTGCAATCTCATCTCGTGTCAGTCATCATCTAACTAGGGAAGATTCGGTCCTAGGATTATCATAGCTGCTAGACCCTCTCATCTACCCGTTGGACCCCATGGAACCCTCTCAGCGGCCTGGTGGACCCCCTGGTCTGCCCGTTAGACCCAGTGGGACCTAAGGGGCCCACTGAGCCCTCTCACCTACCCGTTGGGCCCCGATCGGCCCTCTCACCTACCCGTTGGCCCTCTCACCTACCCGTTGGGCCCCGGTGGACCCCCTCTGCGGCCCGGTGGGCCCCGGTGGGCCCTCTCACCTACCCGTTGGGCCCCGATCGGCCCTCTTAGCGGTCTGGTTGGCCCTCTCATCTACCGAGTGGGCCCTCTCACCTACCCGTTGGGCCCCGGTGGGCCCTCTCAGGCGGCCCGGTGGGCGAGGTAATGACGCGCGGCACCCTGGCGCGCTGGCCATCGACCGCGCGAGCGCCCCGCCTCCGGCCGCCGCGCCGGCCCGAGACCGATGTAGCCGTCTGACCGGCCCCGGTCACTGGTCACTCAGCACACAGGCTACATTGCCCATCGTCCCACAGCCCTACCCAGCCACCCTGAGCCGTCACCTCCGGAGCGCCGAGTGATGGCCCACCTCAATCTTCTCCCGAATTCCATTTCCCTGTATATTACATCCAATTATATCGCGGCATATTACCATACAAAATTGTTCGCCGGCCAAAATCTAGATGAATGACCGCATGTATCGGTTATATAACCGGAAATCTTGGCCCTGAAATGCATTACCTTCTCCATCAGCTGCCAGTGCCACATCTCGGGCAGCGTCATATAGATCAGTGAGGACCACAGATGAGTATCAGGGTGAATACCACAAAGACTACTATCCGGACTCCTCCGACTGACTGAACGACAGTCAAGTCACCTGGAGGGCTTCAGTTGTGACACATTCGAGCTTGATGCGCAACTCGGCCAGCGCCGCTAAAACCCTTCCAACACATTCAAACAGCGTGCATACAGCACAAGTGTCCGACCATAAATCTAAAGACGGCAATAACAGCTGGCAGTCGGACCGTTCCACCCGCAGCCATAAATACCGGTACGGAAATGTCATTTACCGGCCGACATATTTATGCGCGGGGTATTTTATACCGGTCCGGCTGGCGACTGCACAAAGACGGCGACTGGCCGCGTCGATACGGCGCCGGGCCGCGCTGTAAACCTGCCAGCTCGGCGGCGGCGCGACCGAGTCGATAGCGTCCGCCGGACCGCCGTGCCCTTCAGCTGTGTGTGTGCTACACGGCTGCGCAGTTACACGTGGTCGGTACTCGGTCTCACCCTTCAGAGAAGATCCACGGAGCGCCGCCGGCCGCCGCGAGCCGGCGCAAAACGAGCGAAAACCGGAGAACAGGGGAACGGGCGAGCGACGAGGGAACACCGGCGAGAGATGAAGCATGCGACTCGGAGATGAGCGATAACAGATGTAGGAAGGGGTGCATGTTAGAGGGGGTGTGGAGGATACGAGGAGGGATAGCGGATGAAGGAAGGGGTGGATATTTGAGGTGGGGTGTGGAGGGACAAGGAATGGAAACAGGACGACAGGAAAATAAAAGGAAATGAAGATATATACATAAACAAGAAAAAGGGTTGGGTGTTACAAAGACGAGAAACGGGAGACGCAGGACGCAACGTGAGGACTGAGGACAGATCGGGGGATGAGGACAGAGGACCGGAGAGACTGATAAAAAGGTGAGATGATTTCAGTACCCGACTGCGGACGCCAGTGGTCGAAGTGCCCGGTGAGCCCTAACCGGCCTCCCTGACCGCCGCCCCGGGGTCCAGTCGCGTGCCCGGGTGGCCCCACACCAGGCTGCCCGGTCCCTCCCTGGCCGTTCCACCGGACTGACCGGTCCCTCCCTGACTGCTACACCGGGCTGACAAGTCCCTCCCTGACTGATACACCGGGTTGCCACTGGTCCCTCCCTGACGGCCGCCGCGCGGGGCCCCGGCCGCGTGCCCGGGTGGCGTGCCGGCCCGATGGCGTGTCCCACGGTGACGGAGAGGCGGGCGGCAGCACAGCACCGGCGGGCCGGACCGACGAGCGCCGCCCACCGCGGCCGAGGGGACCCGGTCAGGGCACAAGCAAACACAATACACAGAGGGGAGGGGACAGAGACCGGTCAGGGCGCAGACAAACACAATACACAGAGAGAGGGGGACAGGGTCCCGGTCAGGGCGCATACAAACAATACACAGAGAGAGGGGGACAGGGACCCAGTCAGGGCACAAACACAATGCACAGAGGGGATGGCGACCGGGACCCAGTCAGGGTGCAGACAAACACAGTAAACACAGGGAACAGACCAACACAAAACACACAGAGGAGATGGGACCGGGACCCGGCCAGGGCACATACAAAACACGGTACAAATACACTGGGTACTGACAAACGTAGTACAGACAAAAGACACAGACAAACACAATACTGTGGGACACAATGGAACTATGACACAGTCAAGGTAAAAACAAACTGACAAACATCGGGTGCCGCCAAACAACAGAGAGACCAAGGACACAGACAAACAATACAAATACGCTCAGTACTGATAAACTGGCATTGGTGAACTATCAAACAGGCTAATATGTGTATTATTGTGTATAAGTGCACAAAAAGCGCTGATATTTCCACATGGGTAGATATGGTTTCATGGGTAAAGCCGTACCATGTTCGTCCAGGAATAAACTATGGAGTTCATGTTACGAGCAATATTCCCAATCAAATAAAATGTAATTGTTGACAACTGAGATTGTGTTCTCGTGAATCTTATAATGTAAGTCAATCATCAGCTATGAATAAATGCCATCGTTCTGATGAAGGCTCGGAATTTCCGCCGCGTGGCATCCCACACGAGGTCAATTTCCAAATATTCCGCCGGGGGCCGATGCATTATTTATTTGTGCTGTCATCGCTCGCGGCGGCCATGTACGCTGCATAATACTGCCGTCACGGGTTTCACGACGCTTCTGAGAAGGAGCGACGGCCGGCCAGATTGCCCACAAAGCCCGGACATCCACACCGCCGCCAGTCCGTCAGAGGGGCGGCAGAGTGGTCTGTGGAGCGGCAAGGGCCGCCAGTAAACCCCAGCCCGGTCCAGGGGGAACCCTCCGCAGGGACCACCAGTGCAGCGGGACCGGCCCACAGCCCTCCCACCGCCCCGCCCTAATGTGCCACCTGATCCCCATTGTAAAATGAGCCAGCACCAGTCCCACAGTGTGCCGTACCGTCCCATTCCCTACCGTACCCCGTCCCGTCTCCCTCCGTTCGGGCCGAGAAAGGATACAGTCGCAGCGATCCGGTCTTGGTACCGATGGCCAGCAGCTTTTGTACCGGGTCGAACGCCAGTGCTGTCGGCTGGTGCGGGAAGCCATGGCGCACGATCTGAAACACAGACACAGACGCAGCGGTCAGAACACTATGTGGCACACGAAACATTTGGGGATGTATTCCATGCCGCCCACATGAACGCCGGGGAAGGAGTTAGACAAGGTGACACACCAGCTGACCGTTTACAGCAAGCCTGGACGTTCACACTCGGACGTTCATATGCGAGAATCACAGACACCTGCTACAGGCGACATCAGTCTGACGCCTTGAACAGATCGTCGCTGTGTCCGTAGGATCATGCCCACCGAAGCCCTACGGGACAGCACAGTCAGCCGCTGTCAGGTCAGCTACATCGATACCTGTGACGGTACCTATGCGCGTTTTTATGTGTCTCCAGCGCCGCCGGGCGATAAGTCGGACGGTTCGGCCCGCCGCTGCGGGTACGGTTTATCACCCCGGTCCGCGCCGGGGCGGCGCACAGCGCGCGTGGGGCCGACAGGCGAATGGGCAGCTCGTTGGCATAATGGGCCGCCAGTTGAGGGCCGCTCTAATTGGCCATATGTCAGCGCGCGATGGAGGCGGGGCACGGGACTCTCGAGAAGCGGCGTTCCCGCTCTCCAGAGTCCGACACCGAACTGAGGGGCGGGTGGAGAATCGGGAGACGGAGTCGCAGCTCGACAGACGAGCTACGGTCCTGCAGCAGAATGATTAGGTGATTCGGGAGAGTACACGAGGGTTGACACAGCTGGAGTGGGTGAACCGGTGGACAGTGGACGCCCGTCAGTGGGTGGACAGTGGACACCCGCCGTCCGTCGTCGGTAGGTGGACTGGTGGACACTCGCCGGCCTCAGTGGGTGGACAGCGGACAGCCGCCGTCCAATCTCCCGGCGCTGCTGGCCGGCTCGCCGCGCCGCCCGTCTCCGTACGGCCCATCTGACGTTCCGTTCAATTTGCCGCTGGACGTGGTCAGCCCGCACGCCTCAGCGCACATCCGTCCGTCTGCAGTTCCATCATCTCGCTTATCGAAATGGAATGGACTCGCCCAGACAACCAGAAAAAAATGGGCAGTGCAGGCAAAGAAAAGGCACAACAGCAAAACAAAACAAAAAAGCTTTACGAAAATTTAGCATATATGCAGGCAAGGACCGAAGAAGATATTGTAGCTTTGTAACCAAAAGTCAGCGCCAACGAGCACGGCAGCAGATATCGTGGCGCTTTGATGCAGATCGAGTGTAGCCGCTGAAATTCAGCGAGTTTCAGACAGAACTCGAGGGAGCTCATATCTCCGAGTCGCGGCCGAGTGCGCCGACCATTGCTCACCGCGCTACCGTCTGCCTGTCGCCCGGTGTTACGTAACCGCCGCGCAGCGCTGCCCCCTCTCCCGGCGTGACCTACGACCGGCACACAGGCCTCTGACATTTCCAACGAGCTCAACACCACCGCAGCATGACTTCAACGACCTTTTCAGCGCAACTTTGGCACGGCGTCGAGGTAGTTAGGCACAACTTCTGCCTAACGAATACGTGACTTGGTGTTATCTTCGCCTAGTCGCACCCCTTGTGATTTACAAGTTGTTTCACGAGGGACCGCTTGGCTCTACAGCTATTGTCATCTAATGACCCCTGTGGGACGGTTGCGCACACCGTGTCGTCTATCCGTTATCCAATTCTTTGTGAGCTGAGTCCGTTTTTCCGTGACCTCCCTTCTGAAACGTGACTCGTTGAGCCATGCATTGTTTGCCTCTCCGTGATTTCTATGACATGCGTCAGCCGCCCCGCAGGCTCCTTACCGTGCGTGTGTGCCTCGTTGACCTCTGCAGTTACCGTTTGTCCTCCCGTGACCTCCGTGGTTACCGTTTGTCTTTGTCCTTCGCGAGTGCCTCGTTGACCTCTGCAGCCACTGTTTGTCCTCCCGTGACCTCTGCAGGACGCCCGCCGGGGTCTGTTGCCAGCGCTCCAAGACGGATGGGCGCCGAGGCATCAGCCGATTCCATTCCAGCACAGAGTCTGGGCGCAGCGCCAACCGCGGCACGCCTTTGAAAACGCCCTCGCCAGAAAAAGGCGGCCACTGGAGCGCTGAAGAGCGGCGGCCGAGAATTCGATACCACCTCCGCGGGCGCGTCCCCGCCCGGAGACGCTATCTGAGCCGAGTGGCGAGGGTCCCACGGCGGCCCGACTCGGTCACAGATGGGCTGCCGCCGCCCACCATGAGAAGTAGAGTTGCAAAATTTCCCCCAAAGGCTGCTACCGGCACCGCCCCGCCCCACAAAAATTTTCTGGGATACCGGCATGCTACCACGACCCAAGCAAAAACACCACCAAATTACCGGCATACTAAAAAACCTGCAATGTTGATTCTAGCTTACCCCTACAAGAGATGCCACACTTTGGCAATTTCAGTACCCATCCCAGTTCCCACTCAGCAGCCACCCAATGTCCAACCTAACTACGAACAGGATGATTTTGGCTCAGTTGGCCCCACAAACACCCACAATTTTGAAACTCAGTTCCAGTCTATAACTATTAAAATATCACCTGTAATCAAAGAGGTATTGCCTACAAAAAAGCAGTAAGAAAAAAACATCAAAAAAGCAATGACAAAAATAACTTAAATTACTGAATTGTTTCTGAAGACTGCACAGTTCAAGTAAGCAGTAATCACATTAACATTTCAGAGGTGTTCTACTATTCCACATTCTCCTAAAATGTTGCAGGAACCTACCAACCAAAATCAAATTTTGAAATCTAGATGGCCACAACATAAAAAGTATCTAGAGATTCGGCCATGTGCCTGAGGAAGCGAGATCAACACATTTTTTCCTTTTCGCCATGGCTTGCTGGCTCATGAATAAGATACGAATCATTTGAAAAATGTGAAAAACACTTGTCCTGAGAACAGTCACCAAATAATATGCATAAAAAACGATATAATACCCGCTTTCTCGAAGAATCTTCCTCTCCAAACACAAGGTTATCAACTATCAAAGATTTCGAAACAGATGCGCCATAATAACAGAGACTTTTAACCAGCTGATTAAATTGCTGCAAAAAGGGTTTCTGAACTGTAGCAAACTGCCTCATAAATGATTTCATAGGCGGCGGAACGGGGGGGGGGGGCACCGGGGCACCGTGCCCCCCCCCCCCTTGAATTCTGCAAGGGGGCACCAATAGCAAGGTGCCCCCCTTAAATTTGATGTATTAGTACCAGGGGCGGATTCGGGAAAACTCTAAGGGGAGGTTCATGAATCGAAGTGGTGCCCCTACCTATGCCCAAAATTAAAACCTCAACGGATTTCGGCCACTTAATTTTGGTGGTGCCCTATTTTCAGTTTTTTTTCTTTATTTTTGGTTAGTCATGTGATGACTGGTGCCCCTGCTAAGCCGCTGGTGCCCCTGGAAAGACTGTGGTACCTACCTACCCTGCCCCCTGACAAGCCTACGGTGGGCCCTGACATGACTTAGGTGCCCATGGGCCCTGACAAGCCCGTGGTGCCCCTGACAGGCCTGTGGTGTCCTTGCTAGGCTTGTGGTGTCCCTGGGCCTTGGCAGGTTTGTGGTGCCCCTGTTAGAACGTAGGTGCCCTTGACAGGTTTGTGGTGCCTCTGACAATCCTAAATTGCCAACGACAGGCTTGTGGTGCCCTTGACAGGCCCATGGTGCCCTTGCGAAGCCGGTGGTTCCCCTGCGAAGCCGATAGTGTCCCTGACAGGCCTCTGGTGCCCCTGGCAGGTCTGTGGTGCCCCTGGAAGACCTGTAGTGCTTTTGCTAGGCCGATGGTGCTCCTGACAGGCCTGTGGTGCCACTGACAGGCCCGTGGTGCCCCTGCTAGGCCTTTGGCACCCCTGGCGGGCCTGTGGTGTCCCTGTCGGCTGTCAGGCCTGTGGTGCTCCTGGCAGGCATGTGGTGACCCCAGGCCCTAAGTCATGACACATGTGACCTCCACCCTGGGATTCGCCACTGATTAGTACTGCGATGGCTTCTTGGGAATTATACATGTAGGATAAATGGAATTTATCAAACGACAATAAGGAAGAGACAAACACATAGGTACTTGAGGATCAGCTTAAAGTTAACCACACATACGGGCAGGGGTGTAATTTTCCTAAAATGATTGTGGGTGCCCAGCTGTAGGGGCGCCCGGCGCCAGGCCGTTTTGGGGCGCGATAGATATTCTTTATGTGGGAGCCTAAATTAACACCGAATTTCATAACATTGCTAGCCGAATGGCGCTTCAAGTGGCGTGTCTGACTAAGCAAATACACGCTTAAAAGTGGAAACTGACCGGAAGGACGTAAAAATATGTAGAGAGGCGCCATCCAGTAGGAGGGGCACCAAATGTGGAGGCGCGAGACGGTTACGACTTACGAGGGCGCCGTGAGACGATGAAAAGGGCGCCATTCTCTTAGGAGGGCGCCGAGTGATTGAAAACGCTATGTGGTCCAGGGGCGCTAAGAGGCCAGAAGGGCGCCGCACAGTCAGTAGTGCTACGTTGGTGGGGACGAGGGGGCGCCAGATGGTTACGAGGGCGCCTTGAGATCATGAAAAGGGCGCCATTCTCGTAAAAGGGTGCCGAGTGATTGAAAACGCTATATGTGGTTCAGGGGCGCTGAGAGGCCAGAAGGGCGCCGAATAGTCGAGGGATGCACGGTGAACAGAGACCTAAGGACGCGAGACGGTCAGGAGGGCGCCGTTAGACCATGAGAATGGCGCGGTGCTGTCAAAAGTGCGCCATTCTCCCAGAAGGGCGCCGAGTGATTAAAAACGCTATCCATGAACGCGAGACGGTCAGGAGGACGCCGTTAGAGCATGCGAAGGGCACCGTGCTCTCGAAAGGACGCTTGCAGCCTTGTAAAAGACTTTTGGGTGCTTTTCATCATTGTGGGGGCATAATTCAGGATTGTGGGTGCATATGCCCCCACAAAGAGATATAAAATTAGGTACACCCCTGCATACGGGGGTGAACTGCCATTTTCGTTTAGTAAAAAAAAAAAATAAAAAAAATCATCGTGTCAGGGCTGTGACGAAAAATAAGTGGCCTAAATCCGATGAGAAAAC